CAATAGTTCTATACCTTGATATTTTCTTTTCAGAGCAAATCCTAGCCCACCCATTGAAAAGAAAATGAACAATGTGTTCTCTTCCACTCTATGAAACTCCCTACCATTTACAAAAATACAGGGAACTTCTTGCTTAACGATGTTATTGGTATAAACTGACCCCTCAAGAAATAGGATGATGAATCTAGAGCTGGGTTTTCAAGCACTCTGTGCTTACAAAATGGTCTTAGATTTCTTTCTCCTGTCTTTCTCTTCCCACAAAATGCATGCTGTCCACTTGCCCTCTGAGAATGACTTAGCTGCTTTCAGACTTGGGACCCTCATAGAATATAGCAGGGTGCGGAAGGCAGATGACATGGGCATACTGGAAGGAAAAGAACTATGGATGTGTCTGGGAGGAGGCTAGAACAAAAAGAAAGGTGTGGGGATGAAACAGTGGTGAGAAATCTTTAGCCAGGGCAGGAAGCAGGGGGAGAGGGAGCTATGTCTGCTGGTGCAGAGAAGCAAGAGGAGCTTCTTTTCCTGCTTTCTGTGGAAGTCACTTCATTTCCTAGAAATTCTCTTTAGCTCCACTTCACCTGCTCCAGCCACCACCTCCCAGCACATTGCTACTCCAGTTTGAGTGGCCTCCTAGCAATATATATATGGAGGATAGCTTTTCCACTCCAGTGTTGACCTGTCCTCTGTGGCTGTGCTAGAACTGGGAAGGTTCATTTCTTAGTGAGTCCCTTACCTCTAGATGCAAGGAAGCAGAGCTCCCCAGCCAAAATTTTCTGTGTTCTGTGGCATCCTCACACACCACTGTCAATCAAAATGGTGTTTTAAAACTGGACAGCAGCAGCTGTTTTCCACAGTTGTCCCTATTTCTAGGTATAGGTATTTCATAAGGATAACTAGGAAAACGTGCATTTCTGTTCAATAGTGGAAGAGCTGGTTGGCCTGACCACCATGAGTGTTGGCATACTTCCTCAGGTATAAGCCTTCATCTTTCTGGGCTTGCTGATCATATCAGAACTCTTCCTAGTTGTCTCACTGGTGATCAAGGGACCAACAAAGAGAGGTGATCTGCTGGACCTCATACTTAAAAAGGAAGAACTGGTGGGTAGTGTGAAGATCAGTATCATCCTTGGCTGCAGTAACCATGAGATGGTGGAGTTCAAGATATGTGTCAGAGGGGTTGATATTGAGGTCAATACTGTTTAATACCTTCCTGAATGACTTCAATGATGCAGCCGAGTGCACCCTCAGCAAGTTCGAAGATGATACAAAATTTGGAGGATTGGTTAATATAATAAATAGTGATGCTGTCATTCAGAGAGACCTTGAGAGGCTGGAGAAATGAGCTAACAGGAACCTAATGAAGTTGAGCAAAGATAAATGCAAAGCCCTGGGCTTTGTTGGTGGCCAACAGACTGGAAAACAGCTTTGCAGAGAAGGACCTGGGGGTCCTGGTTGACACCAAGTTGAACATGAGTCAGCAGGGTGCCCCTGCGGCACCGAAGGCCAACAGCATCCGGGGCTGCATTAGGAAGAGCACTGCCAGCAGGTCAAGGGAGATGATCCTTCCTTTCTACTCAGCACATCTGGAGTGCTATGTACAGGGCTTCCCAATACAAGAAACTTGAAATTCAAAACTTGACTGGACACAGTTCTGGACAACCTGCTTTACTTGACCTTGCTTGAGCTGGGGGGTTGGACTAGACAATTTCCAGACGTGCATTCCACCTCAACCATTCTGTGATTCTGTGTGATTCTGTTTTCCAGCTGTAAAGTGGGCTGGCATTTGTTTTGAGCAGAAACAAGTGATTGAAGGCTATTTAAAACTAATTTAAATGAAAATAGTGTCTGATCTTATGCTCCTGATAAAGGTTTAGCACATAGAGGCAAGTAACTTACATAGATTTATATGTAGACTTAAATAGAGACAAGTTCTAGACATGCTGTCAGTACAAACTCTGCAGATACTTCAGCAAGGAGGAAAATGCCACAAATTGTTGAGGGAAAATGTCTCCAAGCACTTAGCACAGGCACAACCTGTGAGCCCATGGTAAAAGTCACTCAGTACAGAGCTGACTTTTCATGAGACTCCTCTCATGAAAGTCAGCTCTGTACTGATTGACTTTTACCATGGTCTTCCATGTGTGAGTAGTTGTGGTATTTGGGGCCAGTTCTGTTCAATATCTTTATCAATGATCTGGACGAGGGGATCGAGTGCACCCTCAGTACGTTTGCAGACGACACCAAGTTGGGCGGCAGTGTTGATCTGCCGGAGGGTAGGAAGGCTCTGCAGAGGGACCTGGACAGGCTGGATCGATGGGCCCAGGCCAAGCTAGAAGAGAATTAAAAACTGGTAGCAAGGAAAAATTGTATTGGAGAAATAAAATTCTTATTCAATTGTTAGTTTTTTTCCTGGGAGACAGACATATATACTTCTGAACTGTGGCAGGGGCTGGAATAAGTGATACATTTTTTCACAAGCAGCATTTACAGTGTCTGCCAGCTAAAGAGACTGAAGGTTTAAATTTTTCTCTGCAGCAAGCAGGGTTGGATTGCAAGTTGGCTTCTGGAGCGTGTTTGCCCCATTGGAGGTGCACAATTCATGACAAATTCCACTTAGAGTTGTATATTACTGCCGGTGTCTGGAAAGACTCACAATTGCCAATTCTCAAAATACTGCTGCAAGTGGTTTTCTTAACAGCTCACTTATCAGAGTGTTACAAATCTGAGTCTTGCCTCATACGTGTATGTGTGCAGAAATGAAGACGTTCAGAGAAGCTAGGAAACATGAATCTTCGAATCCCAAAGCCTAGCAAATCACTGTGATTCAAACCTACTCTCCTGACGCCTGGGAGGAGTCGTACAGTTGTATGTTCCTTACAGTTGTATGTACACTTCCCTTTGCCCAGGGAAGTGGTTGAGTCACCATCCCTGGAGGTATTTAAAAGACATGTAGATGAGGCGCTTAGGGACATGGTTTAGTGGGCATGGGGGTGTTGGGTTGACGGTTGGACTCGATGATCTTGGAGGTCTTTTCCAACCTTAATGATTCTATGATTCTATGGTAGCAATGAAAATTACACTGTCATTTAAGTGACATAGGAGAGTAAGTCCACTTAATTTTCAACAGGACTTTGAGTCTTTGAATCCCTTTTGAAAACTGGGTGCATCTTCTAAGCTTGAGTGTTTTTGAAAACCCATGAAGAGTGATCAATCCTCCAAACTTTACCATGAAACTACTTAATGCATTTTATACTATGCTGTGGGACATTTTATTGACTTGTTCTGCACACACCAGATTTTTCAGCAGCAGACTAGAAAAAATCAGTAAGTCAGTCCCCATTTGGATTTCTGAATACAGAAATTCTGGAATTTTAAATGCATATATGGCTAAATTTTAGCCCACGTATGTTTTTGGACATTTGTATTTGAACAAATGTATTTGAACATTTATTTGAAATGCATTTGTATATTTTAACATCTTGCATGTTCAGGTGCTTACGCCCTCCAACTCAAATGTTTAGACAATTTAACCATTTTGGTGTGGTATGTATGACCAGTTGAGCACTGTTTGTTACTGACTTTAGGTATCTTGAGATGCTGGCAAAGCACCCTGCTGTGAAGACTTGCAGAGCCCTCAACCTATATTGTCACGTTTTTATGGGTAACAGGGAAGCAATAAATATTTTAAAAGTGGAGATAGTTCTACATGAATCACTGTTGCAACTCCTGTCTCAAGGAGAGCTCAGCCGTGTACACAAAACTGAACTTTTTTACCACTAAGATAGGTGCAGTTTGGAGATGTGGGGAATGGAGATACGCTGTTTGGAGATGCTGCAAAGCAGCCACTGAGCTGCCACTGCCAACTGTTTTCTTCCACATCTGATTGCAAGTGCTCTTGGTTTGTGCCTTGACAAAAAAAGCAGAGAAGCCCAATTCAGGCAGAATTGAGGGCTCAGGCATTTTATTGGCATGGGTAGACTCTTACATCTGTCCTCGTTGGCTGTGTCTTCATCCCTCACACAGCCTGTGTCACCTCCCATGTCAAGGTGCCCTCGTAGAGTAGGACATCCAGGGACCACACTAGATCAAGGAGATGAGGGTCCCAAATCCATGGGATTGAAGAGGAGTGTATGCCTGTAACATAGAGTTGAAGGTACCCCTACTTCACACTCCTACCAGCTTCTGGACCGGACAGGGCTCCTCAGCCCTTTCTCTTCCTGTCAGGAGCATGTCCCTTATTTCCTCCTTCCTCCTTCTCCCTCCTGCCATTGGGATCCAACCCAACCTTTCCCTATGTGGCTCTACCTCCTGCAGGATGGTGCTACCTGTGCTCACCTCCTCCCGCAGACATGGCAGTGCCAGGAGTCCAGCAAAGTAAAAGCATGTTGAGGAGCCTGTGCTAGAGGAGATGGGGTTGTCCCAGGTACTACATGTGCTACGGTGGGTGTTAGCTCTGGTCTTCTCTGTCCTTCCTCCTGCCTTGCCAGGTGCCTTACAGATCTCCCCTTGGATTTGGTGGTCCAGGTCAGATCAGAGCACAGCACCGGAGGACCCAGAAGGGTGACAAAGCTCCCTTCCCACCATGTACCCTTGTTGATTAGCACACTGGCAGTGCCGTCACCTCTCCTGGCAGCACTCAGATAAGGAGGCAATGGTATCAGAGCAGCCTATTTTGTTGGCCATTTTCTGTAAACTCTCTACAAAAGAGTCTACAGTCAGTGTCCTTTCACTCCAGGCACCTGCCTGTTTTACCTGGTCTGAGGGTGCTCATGGTCATGGGTGGTCATGGGCTAGGAGCCTCCTGCCCATTCTGTGGCAATGACTGTAAAAGCTGCACAGACTTTCAGGACTAAAACCATCTCCAGGAACTGACCCTGGCACTGTGACCTGCTGTGCAATAGGATAGCAAAGCATTTGCTTCTTGCTTTATGAGTAAGTGGGGCTTGGGATTGTGTCAAGCTGTGGCTGTGTACTAACCTGGCTGTGCCTTCCTTCCACAGGGAATGATCTCTTTCTGGTCGCAGTCCATGAGCTGGGACATGCGCTGGGTCTGGAACACTCCAATGATCCCAGTGCTATCATGGCTCCTTTCTACCAGTACATGGAAACACACAACTTCAAACTGCCCCAGGATGACCTCCAAGGAATTCAGAAAATCTATGGTGAGCAACACTATCCAGTCATCTACTCTGAGCTCGAGCCTAGTGAGTATTTTACAGCCACAGACAGGTAGCCCCCAAAATGCTTGCAACCGGTGGGCTGGATTTCCTGCCATAGCTGAATGGGGAACTGTTTAAAGCCCTTGATCCACAGCCAAATATCAGACAACTGTCCCAGTGGCAATATCTTTGCACAAGTCAGGATAACCAAACCTCTGTGATCTCCCTGCTGCTCCATCCCTCACTATGTCCCCAATATCAAGGAGCACTAGAAAGGGAAAAACAGGCGGTTTGTCCATTAGGAACAGCCAGTGCAAATAGAGGGGAAGAATGCGAAGAACATGGAACATCAAGGAAAGGTAAAAAGTATTTATGCACTCATTTTTTCCTCCATATATAGAAGGTGGGGAAAAAAAGTTTGGATCTGCTTAGGGAACACTTTACTTCTTTTAATCTCCAGCTGAACTTTGTTGTATAAGTGCCACAAAGATACGGGCTCAAGGAAAAGAGAGAGGAAAGGAGGCAGAGGGATTATGGGAGAAAACCAAGGGGCTGCAGATGATGTGGTACCATGTGACAGGATCATGGATACCAGGGTGTGAGGACAGGGACTTTCAGAGAATTATTGGCTGAAGGAGACTCTGGGAGGAAGGAAGATGCAGGTTTTAGGAGCCGCAGTCAAGGGGAGGCTGAGCTAGAAGATGCTGATGGTACAGTTTGTGGCAGCCCATGGAAAACATGTTTTGTCAAACATCCCTGATTCCATTCTTTGAGGAAAGTACAAGTTTGACAGAGAGGTTATTTCATAAATGTAGCATAGAGCAACTATGCTATGTAGCTATGCAACATTTGCAGCTGCTTGATGTCTGGAGTCAAATATTAGCTCCCAGTACCAGTAGAGCAGATATTACATGAATTAGACCTGAAAAAAAACCTTATAAGATGGTTGTCAGTGGGAAAGCTGGTGTTTGTAAGGGATTGCTGCTGGGATCAGTGGCAGACCTGACACTAGTCAATGTTTGCATCAGGGATCTGCCAGTGAATTTTAAATTACTTATAATAGAATTTGTGTCAAGACCTATAAGACTCCAAAGCAGTACAGCAAGACTTTAGAGGTCTAAACTGTATGTCAATTGTTTGAGTCTGATTTTTTTTTTTTTTGTGACTGCAATGAGATTAATTTGTTCAAATGTAGATGCCTAAAGAAGAGAAATCTCTTCTGGGCTAGTTTCCCTGACTCCTGTCTGGGGAATGGGAAAAAACAAGCATTTGTAGAGTGCAGTTCATCCTCACTGTAAGGCAGATATCCAAGTAAGGTCCAACATTTAAAATGGCTTGAAATACACCCGGGGGCAACTGGCTTTTCCCATTAGTGCAGCTGAAGATTTCTCTTTATTGTTCATTACCAGGATGAACTCGCATGGCAATTGTCCTACGGTATCATTTAATTATGCATACTTTAACATAGTATATATTCAAATACTCAGGATAACAGAGACTCTGATGGTTTTGAAATAAAGTGCTGGGGTAATAAGTATTAAACTTTCATTAAATAACATACCTAAGTTTTCATTTTTGAAAGATGCTAAAATGTCATTACACTGTTTCTATTTTGAAATGTTCCTGTGAACTTTGACTAATCAGAAAGAAAAAAATAATCTTAATTTATCACTGACAGTGAAAGTGCAATCAAGAAAAAATTACTGGTTTCTCTGTTTTTAGATACCTTTTTGGAAAGGGAGCAGATAAGGAATTGACAGCCATGCTTCTTCACATTTGTGGTTCAAGCCAGTATCAGCTGTGGCTGAGCTGGGGACCAGCACTCCCCCAGCACAGCTTGGGCAGGGACCCAATGCCCAGGGCTGAGCTGAAATGGGGCTCCTGGGCCCATGGGTGGGGGTGGAGGTACTTGGTGATGCTGGTCAGGGCCATTAAGACCTATTAGTGTCCTCTGGGCCCTGACAATTTGTGAGAGCACTGCACGGCGTCTTGTGCACAGCTATGACAGAACAGAGGTCTCCGTACTGTACTGCCTATGGCTTGGCAGCAGCACCACTACACTTCCACTTATTTTTCACTTACATAGTGACATTAAATGTTAGCCACATACTGTGTTAAGATTCTCTGTATGCAATATAATATGCTTAAAATTTTAACTCAGCTTGAAAAAAGCAGTATGAATGAATTACTACCTCATACAGGTAGAATCATAGAATCATAGAATCATTAAGGTTGGAAGAGACCTCCAAGATCATCGAGTCCAACCGTCAACCCAACACCACCATGCCCACTAAACCATGTCCCTAAGTGCCTCATCTACCCGTCTTTTAAATACTTCCAGGGATGGTGACTCAACCACTTCCCTGGGCAGCCTGTTCCAATGTTTAACTACTCTTTCAGTAAAGAAATTTTTCCTTACATCCAGGTAGTAATTAGGAATTACTTTGTTGACTATCATGGAATCACGTGAGGCTCTTCTCTGAGGCCTTTGAACTGAAGTGGGTTGGGGATGGTGTTGGTGGTTGTAGAGATAACTAGTCCTGCAGGTAATAGAAGGAGCAGCTTCTGCAGTAGGAGTTTTGATTCCCCAGGTAGAGATTTCGGCCCTTAGCACAGAGTTACAGTCCAAAAACTAAAGTTTAGTTTAAAACTAGGTTTTACTTTTATGGTTCACAAAGAAAAGATGGAAAATGCAGGTTATGTTTCTCCCTGGAACTGGCGATATGAGAACAGATCCTTTCATCTGAGCTTCTTACAACTGAGAAGGGACTGCTGAAATATCCTTCCTGTAGCTTTAGCAGGAACATTCAACTAATGTGTTTTATTTCCACAGTGCCAGTCTGCTTTGTTGTGCCTTGGGAATGCCAAATGCCCGTCTACCAGAGCACCTGTCCAAAAATCAAAACTTCCTGCTTTCTTGCTGCTTTGACATTCTCTACAGTGCAGCAGCGTGTACTCAATACGTATTATTTAGGAACCTACTATGCAAAATAAGTCATAGAGCCAGAGCCACTGCCTTGCCTGTAGCATCCTTTCTTAAAAATAAATTCAATTAAAACTTCTAATTTTTCATTCCACTGAAGTTGCTAGAACAAAGAACAGGGGCTCTGCTAAAGCTTAAGTCCATTTTGTCTCCTTCTTTTGGGAATGATGCGTTTCAAATGTATTTTTATGTTGTATCTGTGTTTATCCATTAGAAAAGAAATATGTCTAAATATGTCATATAATAATTTGCTGAATTATTAAATTATTTTCTGCTGGATTTATTTCAAAACTCACCTAAAGAGACAGTAGGTGATGTGAACTCGTTTGTGCTTCATGCTGGTTAGTATAAGGACAATGTTTAAAATGTTATTTCCACTTATAAGCTAATGATGAAAAAGCCAGCAGCTCACCGTGTGTAACAGGGTAGACTGTAAGACAAGTCAGCAGTATTTCCATCTTCTGATAGGTGCTTCTTGTAGCAAGTTCCTTGACAAAATGAGGGAAATATCATGACTGTTCTTTACATGTCTTTTTCAGAAGGATGTCTCCCACTGTACTTATGTGCCCATGTCACAAATGAGATGCCCAGGAAGGAATTAAACTGGAAATAATACCATTATGTAGGTCCCCTGGATATCCTGTTGACTGCCTTGTTTTGCTAGTGTTGAAGTCAGGGCTGCATGCAGCTACAGTGCAGATGGGGAGACATACTCAGCCATGGCCTTGTCACACAGCCTGAACTGGTCATCCTTCAGCACTGGTTCTCCTGTTCTTCACGTCCTGCTCTAAGTACCCTTTTGCAGTAGGCTGTGAAGCAGCCTCTCATGTTAGGAGTGACTCTTATGACACTATGCCTGGGGAGCAGAGGGGTTGACATGATGTGCAGGGAAAACTCACATTCACACGGATGCTTGGAGCTGGTAAACCAGGCCCTTTCAAAGCCTAAGGTCACAAAGGAAAAGTCTCCTAATGACTCAAAGATAGACCAAATCATTAAGCCTGGAAACAACCTCAAGGATCTGGGTCCTTCCAAATCTCACTGAGGATGTGTCAACCTCACAAATCTTTTCTGCAGCTCAAGAGAAGAGCTCCCAGTCAGTGTACATGCTGCATCCCATGAGGGCTGAGGTCTAGGGTGGTCATGAAACCACACCAGCGCCTGGCCAAGGAGCTAGACAACACCAGCTCTCAC